AAAAAAAAAAAAAAAAAAAAAAAAAAAATATCCACATTTTGAGCTCCAACAGGAAGTCTGCAAAGTTGCATACATTTTTTTATTATTTTGTTGAACAGTTCCCCCAATGCCTCCGGCTTGCTGAGCAGCGCTGTGGATTTGGGGATGTTTGTGTTTCCAGGGGCGGTGTGAGCAGCCCGCGGGGCGGGCGCTGCGCTGGGCAGGCGGGCGGGCAGCGCCCTCCAGCGGCAGCGGCCCGGCAGGACAGCGCTCCCCGGCCCGCAGAACGGAGAGCAGGGCTGGCAGGGCAGCGGGGAGCTCACTCTGAGGAGCCGAGCCCTCCCAGAGAGTGCCTGCGGGAAGGAAAAGGCACGCTTTGCCCAGGGATTAAAGAGACGGCTTCTGCGAGGCAAATGCATCCTCTGGTGGGTGACTTGAGCAGTAAGGCAGCAGCATGCCCGTGCAACAGCCAGGCCTTCTGCAATGAGAGCACACTCCTCCCTCCAACCATCCCTCCAACCATCCCTCCAGCCATCCCTCCAGCCATCCCTCCAGCCATCCCTCCAGCCATCCCTCCAACCATCCCTCCAGCCATCCCTCCAGCCATCCCTCCAACCATCCCTCCAGCCATCCCTCCAACCATCCCTCCAGCCATCCCACCTCCCAGGTCCCACCGCAGGGATACAGCTCTTTGGCCACACTTAAATGCAAACTCGCAGCTCTGGTGCCCATGTGAAATAACTGAATGTCCAAGCATGAACCAGGGTGAAATAATGATCCTAATTTATTCTGCTTTCTTCAACCAGTCTCTTCCTTGGTTCCTGTGGCCTTTCCTCCATCAACTACCGGGAACCAATAGGAATTATTCAGCTGTGCAATGTGTACCAGTTGAACAATGAACAACTAGCAGGCATTTTTTAAATTATTAGAGTCATTGAAACATTCTTCTACAGTCCTGCAAAGGGTGAGAATGTTAGAACATTGTCATTTTAAAAACCTGAGCTACGCTGAGTTTAGGGGAAGAGGAGGTGCTGCCCAGGCAGTGACACTTTATAAGCACTTTATTGCTTGGCTTGACTCTTTCTGCATTCCTTACAAAATTCAGCACACAGCTAAAAGGCAAACAGTGAAAAACAAGCATTTCTCTAGGAAGGCCGGGGATTCACAGGGGGGGAAAAGTCCTGAAGAGAGGGATAGAAAGACAAAGAATTGCTGTGGGCTTTGCTCCTGCGCTCTTCTCTTAATTCTTATGGATCTTGCCCATGGGCTACTTGGGCAGCCCTTACTTGTGCCTGGTGGGCTTGCAGATGCCTACAGAAAATCAAAATGCACGCGGTGCTGTAGGCTTCCTCACCCCACCTGCTCAGCCAGGAGCCAGCAACAAGCTGAGGCACTACTCTGCCACCACAGTGACACAGGGGGCTCCAGGCACCACCTGTGACTTACTGAAGGGCCCTTTGTCCCCAGAAATGGCAGTGTGGTGCTCACAAAGGTGTAGGAGAAGCCATGGATGTGCAGAGCCACTGAGAGCCACGGGCACTGTTTCTTCCCACCCGATGGAGGATGCCTGTGCTGGCCTCCTGAGCTGTTGTTGGTGCTTTTCCGGCCTGGCTGCCAGCCTGGAAAACAAAGTTCCCAAGGAAAACAAGAGCAAGTGGGGAGGAACACGGAGAACAGCTCTGACATTCCTGCCTGCCTCCAGCAATGTTTCCAGAGCAATAGGGCTGCAGAGGCTGAGCCTGCTGAGCTCCCAGATGAATAGAAGCAATGGACAAGCTACTGCAGCATCATAATACCCTTCAGCAAAGGAATTAGAGCTCAGCCAGAGCGCAGCAAATCTCCCCGCTTAAAATCCCTTCCCCAGTCCGGTTAGTACAACTACCAAATAACAACTTCCCTATCTGCAAGGCTCTTTTAGACCCAGGCTTTATGTCCTGCAAGCAGAGGACAGGATTTCACCAAGGGGGATTTTCTTGAAGCAGGATGACTGAAGAATACCCTCGCTCACCAAGCCCAGCCAGGAAAGGACGGAGCAGCGGGTGATCCACCAAAGCTTCCTACAGCCGTGTCCACTGGCACTAAGGTAACACCATCTGTTTTGGTCTAGTTTAACATGCTCCACTCTGTCTGTTTCTAGAGTCCTTCCCTTGACCTAGGGGATGGCTCAGGTCAATCTGAAGGCAATAAATGCCTTAAATGAAGGCAAAACCTGCTGAGGGATCAGGAAGCATGGCACCTGAGAGAGCAAGGCAGGCAGCGTGCATTCCCCAGCATGGCAGGCGTAGGGAAGAGCATCCCCTGTTACAGACAGGGAGCAGTGGCAGAATGAGCAGCAGTCACCCTTGCAGAAGCTGGAGGACTAATCACCTTTCCAATCCCTCTTCCTGCTCCAGCATCAGCTGCCCAGGCCCTGCTCCCCTGCACACCAGAGCACAGAGCGCGTGTCGTGCCGTGCAAGCCTTGCCCTGAAAGCACAGGTCAGGTCCCAGGCTGGGGTGGGAAACTGCTTCCCATTGGGCTTTGCTTGGAGAGTTGGTGTGATGTTTGCAGCCTGGATCACAAGGCAGAACCCCCCAGCTCCTGAATGCAGCACTGCTGTGCCCATTGAGCCCAGCCTTGCCTTGATGAGGTCAGTTGAGGTACGTACTGTGCAGAACCTTCCCTCAGCACCAAGGAGGGAATAATATTTTCAGTACCGGTAAGGCTTGGAAATTAATTCCTATATGCAACCAAAAAATTTCTAGACAGTGTCAGACCTAATAGATGAGGAAAGAGACATGAAGGCCCCTAAGAGTTCACTGCAGAAATTACTCATCCACATAGTAATATTTTCCTAGACCTCGCTATCAAAAGCTTTATTTATGACCAGAAGAATAAGTATTTTATAATCTCATTAAAAACAAAGTATCCTGGATGCATCGTGTTTTCAAGTGTTGGCATTAGCAGTATCTTATGAATGAGAGGAGCTCTGGTTCATTTTCCTTTGTATGAAGTGCTCATCTTCACCTGTCATCTCTACCCACCTTGAGCTGTCTCCCTCTTGCTCTCACCAGCTGTCTCATTGTGAGGGTGGATGCTGGAAGAAGTGGAGGACCAGAGCAGAAGATACACAAACTGCACAGGATATTTCCAAAGTGAATGGGGTTCACAGCTGATTGCTCTAAATGCAGATTTCTGTTTCAACAGCTGCTGAAGGGTAAGGATAGCGTCCTGAAAGAGAGCTCATGTTTTGCTTGCATTAATTAAATGTTATCTGGACTTTTGAATCAATCCTTCCCTCACCTTCCCAGCCACTTAAAGACGAAGAGACTTCCTAACGCCTCAGCAGGATGAACAAGACCAAGGGAGCTTTTGGTAGCCCAGAACTTTGGAGCCCAGGCTGCATGCAGAGCAGCACCTCCCTCAGCAGTCTGGCACCACCCTTTGCATTTGGACAGCAGGCGATGGACACAGCCCTGAATGTAATCCTAATCGGGGTCCTCCTCGTCATCATGGTGTCCCTGGGATGTACAATGGAGATAGCCAAGATCACAGCTCACCTCAGGAGACCTAAAGATGTGGCAATAGCCATAACAGCTCAGTACAGCATCATGCCCTTGACAGCATTCACACTGGGCAAGCTCTTCCAGCTGGGCACCTCAGAATCCCTGGCCATCCTCATCTGTGGCTGCTGCCCTGGGGGAAGTCTCTCCAGCATCTTTAGCCTGGCACTGAGAGGGGACACGAACCTCAGGTAAGGAAAGCTACATAGCTGTTCATTGTCCAGGCCAATCTAGTTATATGACTGGTTCAGAAACTAATTTAATCAACATTAGGAGGCCCCAAGAAGCTGGACAAAGACTGAAATACTAAGTCAAAAACATTTTTAAAGCCTCCATATTGCTCAATAAGTTAATTTGTCCCTGTTTTACAATGGGACTTTGCACCTTTCTCTCCAACAAATCCTAGCGCTAAAACAAGATCCAGCACGAAAATACAAAGTCTTACTTTTTCTCTCAGTTGTGAATTTCTGAAATGCAAATCCATATCATGGGTATGTACCCTTTCTTGCAAGTATGAAACTTGAGCCATCTTCTCCCTTCTCCATTCATATCACATCCTTCTACAATCTGACAGTGATGTTGGGGAGATCTCAGTGATAAGTTGGGAAAAAGCAAGGTAAAGTCTTACATTAAAATCATCTGCCCAGGCAAGTAATCAGATTAGCATAGTCTGTTTTTAGAAAGTGTTGTTCTTCTACTGAGGGGTCCTTTCTTTGTCTCAGTGCTGTAATGACCGCATGCTCCATGGTCCTGGCGATTGGATTAATGCCACTGCTTCTATACCTTTACTCTGGAGGACTCCATGAGGGTGATTTGGAGGGCAAGGTACCTTACAAAGGAATCATCACCTCCCTGGTGCTGCTGCTAATCCCCTGTGCCATCGGCATCATCTTGAATGAGAAGAAACCACAGTACACTGGCCTTATCACCAAGGTAAGAACTATCCTGTGCTAGTCATCTTTCAATCAAGGGCCTTGAGGAAGTTTTCAAAAATAGAATCACAGACATACTAACTTCTTTAAGACATGCCACAAATCAGTGAAAGGGTTGAGGATAGAACTCATGACATCCACTTCACCACTTTATTGGTTAAAATATTTGGCCAAGGAGAAGTCCTCCATCTTCTCAGATGTTTTGTAGCCAAATTCCTACATTGCTCTTCTTTTGCTTCAGTTTTAACTTTGAAGGATTTTTGCAATATCAGCACTAATGAACTTCATAGCCACTGCCCCCAAATGCTGCTGCAGCCAGAGCAGAATCCAGATAAAAACCAACCAAGCAAACAATAACCATCCCAAAACAAATTAAAACCACCCCACTGCTATCAGAGGTCTAGCACGAGGCAAAAATCAAATCACAAAATTGCTGCTTAAGTAAAGAGAAGCCTCTCCATCACCAAGTGGCACTTATGCCTGGAATCACATCCCTGCCTGCTTTATACATCAGGCATTTAAGCAGCAGAACAGAAAACCAGATAACCATGTGCACCACTGTCTAACTCAAGAGCTCTGCTAGGCTCTACCTGTGAGTAAAGTGGTTTGCTCAACACCTGCTTTGGGGTGGACTAGAGCCACAAAGGGACCTGGACAGACACAAGTAGCAGTGCCTGAGAAACCAGCAGCTTGTGCAGCAACACCAGTCGTTTTGCATAGACTAGAAAGGTCTCAGTAACAGCCCAGGATGGTCTCCTGTTGATTACTGGTAACATTCATGTCCATGAAAGGCACTTGTGCCCTCTGTGTACTTCATGGGATGGACAGAGAACTGGGTACAGCTGCTTCTAACAGCTAAGAAAAAGCTAAATTTTACCAGGGATTTCTCTTTTCCACATCTCAATCATTTTTATTTTAGGCAGGGATGGTTATGCTTCTACTGTCATCTGCTGCTATAATTGTTCTGTCTGTGGCCAATATGGGAAGCTGTATCATGGTTGTCTTCTCACCATCTCTCCTGGGAACTTCTGCCTTAATGCCCCTTACTGGATTTCTGCTGGGCTACGCTGTCTCTGCAGCCTTCAAGCTTGATGACCGGTATGTTCTTCCACACCTCCCTCCCCTCTCTCTCTCTCATCAGGAACAGAGATGTATGGCAGCTCTGCTTTGCAGAGCAATGGTGAAAACATGGATTCTAGGAATATACTTCTGTAGGACACTAACCCCATTCATCCAAAACAGGACCTAGGAATACAACCAGACACAGTACAAGCTGGTTGCAAGCCAGTGACTCCCATACTTTGGGTGGGAAGAGAAATTACTTTAACCTCTGCTTGGCTTAGCTAAGAGGGGAAGAATAGCTAAGCAGGTTTTTTTTGCACAGGCACCTGATCACCATGGAAGCTTCACTGAACAAGTAGATGGATGGTTTTGGCTTAAAGTCACTAGTGACCTGCTAAACATATTACCAACCTCTGCTTTTGGTAATGAAGCTGGGGGGAAATTATTATCACAAAAAAAAAAAACAAAAACAACCAAGCCCAAAAAACCCCAAACCCAAATAACTGAGAAATACCAACAGAGCTCAAATCCCAAGTGACAATTATTGCCCAGCTGATCACTACCCCAAACCAGTCAGTGCATTCTCAGCTGCAGCCCCAGGAATTTAGAATGAAAACCTGGCATATAAAACCTGCTCCTCCTTTTTTCCTCATCTTGCCTAAAACATGTGGGAATCCTCCTAGTCCTATTTTATACCTTCGTACAAGTTGGACTCTTACCACCTCAGGAGATTACTTCCCTGCAGGAAGCTGTGGAGTCCAGAGCAGGACATAAGGCCTCCAGTCCCATTATGAACAAAATTCACATTTGTAACAACATCTCTCTCTGCCCATTGCAAAGGGAGCAGAAGGCAAAACCTTCTAGGGATTGATTGCAGTGTTGTTCCTGACAGAGCAGCTTTCAGCCACAGGCAAGCACACCAGCAAGGTGGGCAGGGCTCTGTTTCAGTTGTTTGAAGCAGAATTTAAATCTGTGATCTATTAAGTTTTTCTCCTTCAGGTGCAGGCGGACAGTGTGCATGGAAACTGGCTGCCAGAACGTACAGCTTTGCTCAGTTATCCTCAAGGTCACCTTCGCCCCAGAGATCATCGGCCCCCTGTACTTCTTCCCCCTGCTCTACTTGCTGTTCCAGCTTGGAGAAGGATTTCTGCTCACCCTGGTCTTTCGGATCCATGATAGAACAAAGCAAGCCAATGGCAAGTACAGCTTTGCTCCTTTATTTCTTTATACCTTCCAAGCCAAACCATACATGCTCACAATGTAACTGCAGATTAATTTCTGCTTTATAAGGCAGAATCCAGTTGCTCTTTAACTAGGGATTACACACCCAACGTATTAGATTCCAATCAGTCAAACATTATTCAGAGGTAACTGAAGACCTTAGAAATTCAGTGGATTTCTTCCATCAGCAGGATGTTTCATACAGCTACCTACTACCAAAACTATCAGTGCACTGTCTGCTGCTTTAAGCCACAGCAGACACCCTGTTGAAGTCATGACTTGCACTGAGCACGTGCAAAGAACAGAGGTGTTTGCATGTGGCTAAAACTACACAAAAAACATCACGTATTCTTTAATGCAACAAATCCCAGCTTTGCTTCAAGCTGTTAAGTGATTTCCTGAGAGGACAGAACTGCCAAATACTTCAGCCAAAGGAAGGAAACATTTAGATCTTTTGCTAGAAAAGTACAGAGATTGAAACTTCATTTTAAAATATATACAATGCTGGCATAGATGTGAAATACTCTTCTCCAACTCCAGCAGGTCCGTAATTCCAAAGCTCAGCTGACTGCACAGATGACTGATGGATGCACTGCTGAATGAGATCCTCCACCCACCACCCCTCTGATGCTGCCAGTCCAGCTTTTCTCCACTGCCTTGAGATGCAGACGAGTAGCTGCTCCAGACCTGCTTCAGGATCACTTTACCATATCTTACAGCTGTGCTGGAGGACAGCTTAATGGGAGGAAAAAACCCACTCATTTGGATCCTTGGGTGTGTGTTCAGAGCAAAGCAGTTGCTACTGGAAACAGAAATGCAGGTGTTGACAAGACTACTATAACAAAAGGGTTGTATTCCAGCCTCTGGGTTATAAATGAGTGGAAGCAAAATGGATTCAGTCTTTTGGCAGGAATCCCTTCCTCTTGTTTTAAATGACCCAGTAATTATAGTTGTAGCTGTCACAATCTTCCCCTAACCTGGTTTCAGAATTGTCTAGTCTCACATTTTTCTCTTTCGTCAGAAGAGAAAAAAAAAAAATCTGTGCAGGTGTGACTACATTTAGTGCTGAAGAAATGAAATCAGTGTCAAGACATTGCAGAAAACAGTGGAAAACCAGGAAAACAATATATGGATTCTGCAGCAGTTGCTCTTCAACAACCCTCCACCCAGCTCATAGGTGTCCAGCTGTTCTGTCAAAGACTTATCTATACACTCATTTCACAGCAGCCACAGAGCCATCTGCAACCACACTGCTATTCTCCAAAGACCTTGCTCCAGACTAAGCCTTGCTCTGTCAGCCCAGAAAGGAGGAGACTTTCCACCTTCACAGTCATTCTAACAAGCCTTTGGGACAGCTGAAGAACATGCCAAGTGACTGTCCCAGTTTTACCTGTAAGAAAATCACTGCCTGAATCAGTTCCCTTTCTAAATTTCACTTACCTGTAACTGTCCTGCTGGCACACAATGGAAGCAGATCCTGATGGCACCACTGTAAATTCATGTTATTTCTCTAACAGACCCAGAACGAGCTGTGAAGCTTTCTCCATGCAGAAGCCAGTGAGATTCAATGCACAGCCAAGCAGCCCATGGGCTGTTGGTTTCTCCCATTCTCCAACGGGTACCATGTGGTACCAACTGAACACCCAGAGCAGAAGCCACACAAACCATGATCACAGCTACACAAACTGCCTTGGTGAGCCGAGCTGGGGCCCAGCAAGCTGTACCTGCAAGACCAATGTACCTTGAATGTGCCTTCTTTTTTGCAGTTAGTGAACTCAACACCACACCTGTTCTAGACACCACCTAGGTATGGTCACACTACACTACTACAGTAGCAGGAAAGATTGGCATTGACATCCCCAGTGTCCAGACTATGCCTTGTAACCCAAAGTAATTACTCTTAATTAAGAATAAACAGATTCATACCAAGAATGCACACTTAATAAACAGAGTAATTTCTGGCCATATATCAATGTAAGCCTCCACACTGCAAAACCTGGGAGTTTAACAGGAAGCTCATCACTACACCAGCCAGCTCCCCAGGGAAAATGCAGACAACTGCTCATGCTGCTTGCAAGGCAATTAAGTGGTGTAGTCCAGAAACAGAATTCAGAACGACTATTTAGAGAGCAGATAATACTTCACGTTTAGCCTAAGAGAAGTCGATGATCCCTTTCATCACATCAAGTGCCTTCAGCCACCTGGGTTGCAGCTGAAGCCAAGTCCCACTTGGACACAGATGCTCATCATCATCCAAGCTGGTAGGACTGACCGACTCAGGATCTCAACACAGCTGACCTTCCACCCTGATGAATATGAATGCTGTTTTTACCCCTGTAAGTTAGAGCCCCCTTGCTCCACACCTCCTGGGGTCCAGCATCTGCACCACTAAGGCTCTGAGAATGAAGGCTCCCATTCCCCAAAGCTGACTGGTAACAATCCAGTTAACTGTGGATCTCTCAATGCCTGCTCTGAGCAGTCCCTGGCAGCCCAATACACTGCCCCCTCCACAGACACAACACAGAACAAGAGCTCCTCCTCCTTCCTTGGCTTGGCCCACAAGACCTCTGCAGCAGCTGAGACAGGGCAGCAGGGCTGCCCAACTCCTGACCTCCCACAAGGCCCGGCCTTGCTCCGAGAGGAGCCACCTTGCACTTGCTATGACCTATCCAAATACGAGCCAAGGCCACAAAGATCTTTTTAAAGGTTTCTACAGATTACTACAAGAACTCTTTAAAACACTTTGTAAGAAAACACGTGATTTTATTTAAAGATTAAATTCCTAAATTCTCTTGTGCGTGAGGGCTTAAAAAATATAGGGATTGCAGAGGGCTGCTGCCACTGGAAGCTACAAACACTAGAACACAGAACCTCATGGTACGACTGCTGCATTACTCCCAGCCACTGACTTAAAAATCCCTCTTCCCCCAGAATGACAACTAATGCTTACAAAAACAGTTTTATCTACACCTCAGTGCTCTCATATGAACATGCACACATACACTAATGAAGTATGCCGACTACATCTGTCTTTAACACTCCACTTATTATCCCAAGTGATTAAAAGCTAAATGACTCATCCACTCCACTTTCTGCCATGAACTATGACAGCCTGATTATCCATGTTCTTATTTCAGAACAGAGACATCCAAGGACATCACACCATGTATTTAAAAGGAGAGTGTTAACACTTTGCCACAGCTCCATCTTTAAGAAGCATTTTAACACGGTCACAGCCACTTTATTATTGACAGCAAGAAACAAGAGGCAGAAATGTTTCTTTATACTTTATTTGAACTATTTCATTCTTAGGTATCAAGAAATAAGAGTGCTTTATAGAATATTATTATCACATGGCAGTGAAATGGGCATTTTCTTAGTGTAGTGCAAGTTATATTAAATGAAAATATTTTAAAATAAAGTTTTATTACCAGTACCGACCAGCACTTAATCTGCTGACCTATAGCTGAAACAATGTCTCAAAAGCACAAAAAAATACCCTCTGAAATAAAGCTTTATGTACAGCACATATAGAGCTCTTAGACGCCTAAAGCTATTAGTCTGAGATATTAAACTAATGTTTTTGAGTTGCTATTCACAGTTGAATATACTGAGAATTAAGTGTTCAGATGATTTTAGAGTACAAAAAAATTGACTGCTTTAGTTATAAAGAGCTCTGCCAATATACACAAACTATACACTTCAGACATTCACAAAAAAATGTGAGCAAGAAAAGGGTTATCAAAAAACATTTAATACAATTAGTCAATAACCCTTCCCACCATGGTCCACATCTACAAAGCTCCCCATTCCCTCCCCCCTCCCCATCCAAACCCTTCCCCACAGAAAGTCACATACTTACCACAAGTTTTAGCAAGTATGGTTTAAAAAAGGGCCCTCAGGGCAAGTTATTTATAGTTCAGTTGCCACTGTCAACAGATCTGGACCTTGATCTAGACCTCTGCCGATCTGTGGATGACGGAGATTTGGATCTACTGGAAGAACCACGTTTCTGGCTCTTGTTTGGCAGTGGAGATCTGCTAACTGATCGCGACTTGCTATGGCTCCTACTCCGTGACCTGCTGTAGGACTTGCGGCTGCGGGAACGAGAGCGGCTGCGAGACCCGGAGGAGCTCCTGCTGCGTGAGCGTGACCTGCTCCTGGACCTACTGAGGAGGGAACAGAGTCAGTGTCAGCTTCGCAACCGCACGGGCCCGGCCGTAACCAGGCAACCCATGGCTCTCCAGCCCGGCTGCCTGGTCACTGACTTCAAAGCTTCTCAGTGTATGCTTAAGCATTATTTAAGACTGGAAATCCATACCTGTGCCTTTTGCTGCCTTCAATTAGTTTGATTTTCCTTCCATTAATTTCTTTACCAGAAAGCTTTTCGATAGCATTCTTTAAATCACTGTAAGAGGCAAATTCAACCACCCTATGGAAAAAACAAAACAACAAAATCCCTAAACATGAAGTTCACTATTAGAAGGTTAGTTACCAATGCAAGCAAATTTACACTCGGAAAAAAAACAAACCAAAGCCCCAAAACCTACACTGTTCAGTATAATTATCCCTTGTCATCACTGAAGCATGTAAAGTTCCCCTCCCCAAATATTTCCCACATGCATTTTCAGAGGGTAGCTAAATTAAGCCATGAACAGCTGCTTACACTGTAAGCAGCCAGCTTCCCTCCGCAAATATTACGCATACAGGTTACTCTACAGCTTTTAAGAGACCATTTGATAGGCTTACCCTTCATTTAACTTAGGTCTGTGTGCATCTGCAAAGGTTACTTCCCCGGCTTGTCTCATGAAGTCTTTGAGATCCTAACACAAGACCATTTATGTTACGCAAAGAAGTGAAATTAACACTTTCCTATACAAAAGTAGTTTAAAGCAAACAAAAGAAACTTATGACTACTGAAAGAGAAATTGTTAGATAAATCACAAACATGGCAACTGCCATACTTGTATTCTATCAAAATTGCGTTATCTGTATCACAATCTGTATCAGGGCACGAAATAAATGAGAAAAGCATATTGCTTTAAGCAAAATGCTAATAAAGGGTCTTAACATTAAAGTAAATATTAGTCTAAAATGATTTTATAGATTAAGTAACAAAGAGAAAGAAAGAGAGAGAGAAAAAGAAATAAAAAAGCACATTTTTATATATACTGGATCGACTTTGAAACACTACCCATATATTTTTGGACTATTTCAGTCTCCATTTACATTACAATTCTTATACGAATAGAGAATTACATTTACATAACACCAATTATTTTGTGCCCCATATGTCATTAAAAATATAGTTTACTTTACCTTTATTAACATTTCCCTAGGCTAGCCAAGCAGCAAACTGCATTAAGCGCCAGGAGATACCGTCATGACATATGCCCGACTGGCTCTTCGCCACCCACTTGCCGAACACTACCCAGTCGATGGAAGCCATTAATCGCACTGCCCTCCCTATCAGGAGACTATGGATGGATCCAGACATTCTCTATGCTTGATGTCACCAAGGACCACTTTACTGCGATCAGGATTCCAACGACCACCTAATTTCCAATCTTTCAACTCTTTTCGACCAGGACCTCGTTATTCGGAAGCGTTACAGGAAGAACAGCTCTCAACTTAGGAATCAGATCTCGTTAACGCTCTGGGACCGCTGCAATGTGGCACTTTAAGGAGTGCATCGATTACGTCTAGACCGGCAAACACAGATCTAGAGGTGGCCAAGTGACATTGTAGGAGCTGACTGGAAAGTCAACCAGGCCCGACCAAGAGTGACCAAGACAGAACGATTAGGATAACCCACAGGCACTCCTCGTCATAAGGCCAACGACACAGATAGGCTGGCAAATAAAGGGTTTAATATGTGGTTAAAATGGATTTTAAAAACAAGAAAAAAAATAAATATATATCCTCAAACATATAAATTTATTATTATGAATTAACGTTAACTAGCTTTCATTCACAATATTTAAGTTACATTACTAAAAATCATATTAATTAAACATTTTAATAAATTAGGTTTTAATTTAATTAATTATTTTACAAAATCATTACATTACATTACATACCCATTAAATGAAGTGAAAATAGTTAATCGTGTTTCAACAAACCTGCCAGCTGACTCGGGAGGACAAATTTTCCACTATGAGGCGATTTTCTGTTCTTAGAGGTGGGGCGTTTCTGTTTTGAAATAAACAATTCAGACTTCTATTAAATAAAACAATCTCATAAATAAAATATAACCACATTAATGTTAACAAAAGCTGCACCATGAGCTGGTTTCAGCATATCATCATTAGCACTACAACCTGAGCTGTGTAATCCCCAAGCAATCTAGAGCAAGCATTACTTAGTGGAGGGGAGGGAGCGTAAGGATGACAGGTATATCTGAGAAGTTCTGTCATCTTCATTATCCTGCTGCTACATCAAACAACTTAAAGGGCAAATAACAGCTTTTAGCAGCTCATTCCAGCTCACATTCTCTTAGATAAGCCCAAAGCATTCTTTTTTTGAACAGCACTGGTTCAAAACTGCACGTACCTCCTGTCACTGCGTGGGCGGCGGCTACTGAACCGGTCAGAGTACCTCCCTCTGCCTCTGCCCCTCGAGCGTGCTCTGGCATGCTCAATGGTCACCCTGTAAAGAGAAAAACACAACAAAACACATTTTTACGTATTTCTTCTTTTATACAGTTATAATTCTCAGGATAAAATTAAGAACCAAATGAACACAAAATAGTTCCACCAGTACTGATAACAATTCCAATTAAAACTGACTTTTATAGTAGATCTCTGAACTTGTATAGCCATGAAATAGGATACCTCACCTCTCACTACAAAGTTCTTTTCCATCCAATTCATAGACAGCATCATCTGCATCCCTCGGATCCTCAAACTCCTGAAAAAACAAGACAACAAAACCAAGCAATTACATTCCAGTGAACGAGCAAATGCTTGTCACATGGTGTGCCTTGATGGGCGCATTAATGCATTTTTTTCCGAAATAGTTTCGTAAGCCTCAAACGCGAGGGAGCACCAGGGGGGTGGGGAAGGGAGAGGGGTGCACTCACCACGAATCCGAAGCCCCTCTTCAGGTCGATGTCGCGGATGCGGCCGTACCCCTTGAAGAACCTCTCCACATCCTTCTCCCTGGCGGCCGGGTTCAGCCTCCCGATGAAGACGCGGCAGCCGCTCATGGCTGTGTGTGCGCGGCGCTGCTGCGGAGACAGGCGCGTCAGGCCCCTCCCGGTGACTCAGCACCGCCCGCCGCCGCTGCCGCAGTGCGCCACGGCCCCGCCCCCGCCGCGGG